AAAAAAAAAAAAAAAATATATATATATATATATATATATATATATATAGCTACTTTGAGACAGAATGGTACAGGAGAAAGAGCACAGGTATCAGAGTTAAACACAGCTGGTTTTAAATCCTAGCACTGTCACTTACTGCAGATGCAAGAGTGCATAGTGGTTAAGAGTGTAGACTCTGAGGGAGCACTTCTCTGATGGTGTTTCCCAGGCTTATCTTCACATTTGTCCCCTCCCACCCCCCCAAAAGAGAAAAGACTCTAAAACCAGACTAACTGGGTTCCACTGGTGCCACTTAAAGCTAAGTAACCATGCACAAGTTATTTAACCTCCCTGTGCCTCAGTTTCTTCATCTGTAATATATAGATGACAGCACCTACTTCATTCAGTTTCTGACACTTAAATAAGTTATTACATTTAAAATGCTGAGAACAGTGGTTGGCACATGCTAACTGCTCAATGACTGTTAGTAATTGTTGTATTGTTCTTTATTGCGTTATCTTTTATCCTGAGCAAGTTATTTACTATTCTAATTATTGTTGTAATTATTTACACTGTGCAAGCTACCACTAAGTTCACTAAGTCTCAGTTTTTCTCCTCTATCAAAAGGAGAAAACCTATTTGGTTATAAGGATTAAGGAGATGCTAGATATAAAGCACCTAATGGATATCCAATATACATTAGTTGTGAACTGCTACCCAAATTTGGAAAAGGACAATGACATTGTATTAAAGATACATACATAAGCAAGCATTGTATCAATACTGAATGCAACTTGGGAATATATTATCAAGAAGATGGTAAATGACAATGTAGATAAGAAAGCAACAATAAGTAGAAGCCAGTATAAGCTCATTAAGACTAATACATGGCAAACTAACCTGTTTATTTAATTTTAACACAGGTTCAACAGACTGGGAAAAGACACAGTACTCATATACCTTGATTTCAGTAAGGCATTCAAATACTAATTTCCATAATAATCTTATAGAATGATAAAGAAATCCGAGTTGAATAACAGTACAAAATTAAGGGAATTTGTAGCGGTTGGAAAAACTTTACCCAAAAATATTAATTAATGAATAAGGTATTAGTTTGCAAATAGGTTTTTTATGGCTCTATACTACTTAACATCTTTGTGTGAACAGGCATTAATGAAAAATCCTAGATTTTGTTTACAAAAAAAAAAAAACCCAACAAAAATGTGTATAGAAAAATCCTTTAATTAACATGAGCAAAACTTTGCTGACCAACAAAGATTAAGCTAACTACTAAAGGAGAGAGGAAAAAGTGTAATATAATATAAAGCCACTTTCATAGAAGAAAGCCCAGGTCAAATGAAGTATATGTGAACAGAAATCAGAAGACATAAGAAAAACTTATCTTCATTTCTGGTTATCTTTCATGAATAACAGAAAAAGGTGACCAAGATGGTGATATACAGTCATATATCACTCAACTGGAGGAATATGTTATAAGAAATATGCTGTTAGGTGATTTTCTCATTGTGCAGTCATCATAGAGTATACTTACACAATCCTACATAGTATAGCCTACTACACACCTAGGCAATATGATATAACCATTATAATCTTATGGGACCGCCACTGCATATGTGGTTTGTCGTTGACTGAAACATCTTTATGTGGCACATGACTGTATATCATATAATATCATATAATAGAAACTAGAAATATTTAATTAGATAACAACTGAGAGTTTGCACTTGCACATGTAAGGGAACATAGTATCTTTTTTCAAGTGACAGAATGTAAAAAAGTAACATGAGAAACTAAAGAGTAGACATACTTTCCTCAAAATGAGGAAGCACTTTATGACAACTACAGCTGTTCAGGAGAATGAGCTGATAAACAATCAACATCAACAGGCTGATGACAACCCATTAGGAACTAAAAGAGATAAGAATTCATGCTACTAGAAATTTGATCTTTGTTATATAATCATACTACAATACTTCTTTCTGAGAATTCTAAATATAGTCATGCATTGTGTCACTGATGGACCACATATATGATAGTCCCATAAGATTATAATGGAGCTGAAAAATTCCTATCACCTAGTTACTTTGTAGCCAATATAACATAGCACAATTATTTTTTTGATAAATTTAGTGTAGTCTAAATGTTTACAAAGCCAGGGCCCGCCAGTGGCTCACTTGGGAGAGTGGGGTGTTGATAACACAAAGGCCACAGGTTCAGATCCCTATATAGGGATGGCCGGTTAGCTCATTTGGGAGAGCATGGTGCTGACAACACCAAGTCAAGGGTTAAGACCCCCTTATCGGTCATCTTTTAAAAAATAAAAATAAAAAAATAAATGCTTACAAAGTCTACCATAGTGTACAGTAATGTCCTAGTCCTTCACATTCACTCACCACTTCCTCACTGACTCACCCAGAGCAACTTTCAGTCCTGCAATCTGCATTCATAGTTAGTACCTTATACAGGTGTACCATATTTATCTTTTAGAGATCATATTTTCACTATACCTTCTCTATGTTTAGGTACCCAAACACTTACCATTGTGTTACAACTGCCTACAATATGCAGTACAATTATATGCTGTTATAGTTTTGTAGCCCAGGAGCAATAGACTATACCATATAGCCAAGGTGTGTAGTAGGCTATACCATCTAGGTTTGTGTAAGTACGCTCTATGATGTTCACACAATGACGAAATTGTGCATTTTTCAGAACGTATGCCCACATGTCTGTACTTAAAATTAACAAAAGAAATTACAGTTATGGTATTAGAAAAACAAAACAAAATAAAACCACCTAAACAAAAATAAATACCCTATGCAAACACATAATACTTCTAAGTCTTAGCCAATGGTTCACAGTAATTAGGCTGTAGAAATTAAGAATCTAGAATTAGGCTAATACTATTACAACAAAATCTACCACTATGAACAAGTCAATACAGTGATATACTTTTCTACTTATCAAAGTGATATACTTATAATGAAAATTTTGTCATACAATTGTCCCAAAAAAGAACACAAAAGTAGTAAACAGTGACAACAAAATATACATACAATGAATAACACTATACATTTGTAGAGTGCATTAAAGTTTCTCAAACTGCTTTTCCACCTGTTTTGTGCCATCTAATTTAAAAACAACTGAGATAGACAAAGCAGTTGGTATTAGTCCCATTTTACTATCTTCCTGAGGCTCAGAGGGGTAAATGCCTCTCCTTAGATCACTCAAGTAGGTCCAGGGTATGGATCTAGAGCATGTGACTCATGGTCAGTGTTCATTTTTTAATAATTTTGTTTTCTGTTTAATAAAATAATACATTTTCATTGTACAAATGTCAGAATTCAGATAAAGAAAATCACCTCCCTAATTAGATAGTAAATAATATTAACAAGAAACTAACTTTTTCTTGAAATGAAAGAAAATGGAAGTAAAAAAAGCTCCAATAAAAGAGTAAGGAAAAATTTCTTCTGCTTCCCATACTATGCTGAAATAACAGAATACTAAGTGGATTAGTTAGTGGAATAAATAATGTTCTTCTTGAGATGATATTAAGTATTTTGCATGTAACACTCTTAAAAGTAAAAATAACACCAAAATATAGACATCCGCTTAAAATGGATTCTAGCAATATCAGATTCTTCATCTACACAGGCTTAGAGAAAACAACCTAAACTTCACTTTTAATGATATATGAGGTAAAACCATTACCTTGGGTGTGCTTCCTTTAATGAATTTTTTAATTGAGGACAACAAGCCAGTTTCATTCTTCGGTGGTTTTTCTCCTCCTGAAGGCAGGCTATCATCAACCTCTGAATATTTCCTCTTTGCTCTGGCAGTACGTTGTGTTTGTATTTGATTTGATTGCTGAGAAGCTTTCCGTGTTCTCAGCCTCATCTTTTATGAGTGCCACATGTAAAACTGTAAGAGAAAAATAACCAGTGTTATTAAAATTCACCTTAGCGTACCCACATGTACCCAGCTTGTGTATGTGTGTGTGTATACATGTGTGTACACACATGTTGGTTAAAAAAAAAAAAGCCCAGGTCTCTAAGGAGTTAAAATAAGAAACTAACATTTTAAGCAAAAGGCATTCTGCTTTGTACTTTACATATACAAGGGTCTTCAAAAAGTTCATGGAAAGATTCTCATCATCTTTTAATTCTATTTTTCCATGAACATTTTGAAGTACCCTTGTATTATCCTAAATAACCTTCCCAACAACCTCTGAAATATTATATCCTATGATCTAAAGTAAGGGTAACACTAAAGAGTTTGCATACTTCTCCACCTATGCTAACATCATCATTCGTTTAATCATTCATTCCTTCAACAAATATTTGTTGAGCACTTCACACTCAAGGCACTGGGCTAGGTAAGTAGTGAGTAAGTAGAAAACAAGACAGGGAAGGGTTTTGCCCTTCTAAAACTCAAAATGTAGTGAGAAAAACTGCCGGCCAACAAATTAATTTCATGAGCACAATTCTAATAATCAACAATCATGTAAGCATAACAAGAGTGGCTGAATTATTTTGAGAGATTCCAATATTACCATATATAATGATACTTTAAAAACTGAATTAACATTAGAGAGAAAATATGAGGCTATCTACTTGAATTCTCTTATCTTACAGATGAGAAAATTAATGGCTGTCAAAATTGTCCCACATATTTAGAAGTATTTGAGGACATACTCTGAATTAGAATCTGTAAAAGAGAATACAAAGACTACTAAACTAAAAATTGAGAAATGTGAATTCTAATCCTACTTCAGTCATAGCTAAGCTGTAGTGACTTAACTATCTTTCCTTCACATGTATAAAGAATATATTTACCTTACCTTCGAGAGGCTCATAATGAAAAAGGTACTGAGAGGTTATAAAGCGCAGAGGACAATAAAGCTATTCACAACAGTGAATGCATTCAAAGAAAAATCTAACTCCAATTAACCACTCTAAATTCCTGAAGGTATAGAAATTCCTGGCAAAGACTAGAGTCTTCACTGACCAATTAGGAAGTCTCAGAAGTTGTATTTTTACTAATTCAACACAACAGTCACAGAAAAAAGTTAGAAACTTTTTTTAAAATATAGAAACTACATATATGTTTGTGTGTATATACGTATATATGAACATACATATACAGTGTCTATTTCAACAAAAAAAAAACCCTATTATAGATTAAATAGCTGTATCCACTCAAAATTCATATGCTGAAACCTAACCCTCCCGTGATAGTATTTGGAGGTGGGGCCCTTGTGAGGTGATTAGGTCATGAGGGCAGAGCCTTCATGAATTGGATTAGTGCCATTATAAAAGATCCCAGGGCCGGCCCCGTGGCGCACTCAGGAGAGTGCAGTGCTTGGGTGCGCGGTGGCGCTCCTGCCGTGGGTTCGGATCCTATATAGGGATGACCGGTGCGCTCACTGGCTGAGCGCGGTGAGGGAGACACCAAGCCAGGGGTTGCGATCCCCTTACTGGTCACAAAAAAAAAAATAAAAGATCCCAGAGAGATCCCTAACCTCTTTCATTATGTGAGGATAGAGTGGGCAAAAAGGAAGTGGGCCTTTACCAGACACCAAATCTGCCTGTGCCTTCAACTTGGATTTCCCAGCCTCCACGGCTGTGAGAAATAAATTTCTGCTGTTTGTAAGCCACCCACCCAGTTTATGGAATCTTTGTTATAGTAGCCCGAACAGACTAAGACACCCCTAAACTCAAAGGATTCACCAGAGTGGTCCCCAAATAGCTTTTTTTTTTTTTTTTTTAAAGATGACCGGTAAGGAGATCTCAACCCTTGGCTTGGTATTGCCAACACCACGCTCAGCTAGTGAGCCAACCGGCCATCCCTATATAGGATCCGAACCCGTGGCCTTGGTGTTATCAGCACCGCACTCTCCTGAGTGAGCCACGGGCCGGCCCCCCAAATAGCTTTTTAAGTAACTAATTTTTTTCTATAACTAGATGGTGCTCAGTTTTAAGTTGCCATCCCAAATAAAATAAATATTGCCTTTTCTCCCAAAGAGTCAATGCCTTTGTTCTACAGCACAGCACTGCCTAGAAAAGGAAAATTTCTATACGGCAAATGCATGGGGAGTTCTTTTAGCTATTTTTAATCAATTTCTGTAAAGTTTTTTAGAAGAGCCTTTTAAAAAATACCTAAGAGCAAACCGATATTAAACCCTGAGTCATTAAATGGAAACCATAAAAATTATGAAACAATATCATGATGTAAAGTAGAACTTAAAAGACTAAAGGTACATAAAGTAGTACAGTCATAAGAGGTTCAGCTCATTAGAGTTTAAAAACTTATCGGTCACCCGCTGCCGGAATGGAAACAAAAGTATAAAAACAATAATCTCTGCCCATAAGAAGCACATAGTCTAGCAGGTAAGAATGTTTACTTATCATATTGTATATATAGAATGCTAGATCACTCTGCATTGAGAAAGTGAAGAGGGTTCTGGGAAAGCTTAGGAGAAAGGGCCTTTGAACTAAAAAATAACCAACACATATTCACTGAAAAGACAAGAGCATTTGAAAAAGGAAGCTGATGTGTGGAAATGCAAATTAAAACCACAATGATACAACTTTATAACCATTAGGATGACTATTATCAAAAAAACAGAAAAGAAGTACTGGTGAGGATGTGGAAAAATTAGAACCCTGTGCACTGCTGGTGAGAACGTAAAATGGTGCATTTGTGGAAAATGGTGTGGCAATTCCTTAAATTAAATATCGAATTACCATATTATCCAGCAAATCTACTTCTAGAACAGGAAAAGGGACCAAATAAAATCTGCTCTCCTACCCCACATCTTTAATCTTTACTTCTTTTAAAAAATGATAACATGTAGACAAAAAATGGCAAATAGTCATGTACACAAAATACTGAAATATTTCATCTCAATTCTGGAGCTAAAAATCCACAATATACCTGGTTTTTCTGGGCATTTCATAAGAGGAAACATAATGGAAGGATAAGCAGGGTTGGGGAAAGAGACTGGGAAAAGATGACAAAAATTATAGAGGAGGAGCTGACCACAAGATAGTTTTGGGGCAACCATAGTGTTTAGGGAAGAGGAAAAGGCAATCTAGGGCCAGCTGGGGAATTATTCTTTCTCCACCATCAATCTATTTAATTTGAACACTTTCCTTTGGTATAAACCAAGAAGGCAACCTGAGGGCAAAGAAGCCAAGGAATTACAGTTACAGCCCTAGAAAAAAGGAAAGCTTCTATGACCAATTGGAGTTTTGCCTAGAGATCCACTCTTATAAATTAACTGGGTTCTGCCCAGGTTATTGAAGGATGGAAAGAATGCCACTATCAGACTAACATGGAAAAAAAATTGGATGAACTATAAAATTAAAACTTTATTGAACTCATCAGAGAATTGAAGGCTCAGGGCAACCAAGTAACCTCAAATCCAAGAAAAAACAAGCTCTTCCTTGGCGAGACAGGATGCACGCACTGGCTCACCTGTGGTAGAGCAAGGAAGAAACAATGGTGCCATTAAAGCAGATAAAAAGATTTCATCTGAAAGAGTTAATATCCTTACTGACCAGCCGCCAATATATATATAAATAAGTAAAATTGTTAACAAACTGCTAAAGGAGAAGTGTGTATTAACATGAGCATGTAGTATCCCTATGAGACACAAAAACAAAAGATAATTCAAATCCTTTTGCAAGTTTTACCGGACCTCCACCACATGCTCACAACAAGAACGTGGGACTGGAGAGCTCCTTCCTCTGTGGTGCAGGGCTGGAAGAAGGGAGCAGCGTCACAGTACAGAAAAATACATAGCCCCAACCAGATCCTTCTTCCCTTACTAACAAAAACTTTAAGGCACTGGGGGAGGGGCAGGATTGGGGTAGGGTGAAAAAAAACCCTCTCTATCACTAGGAGAGGGACAGGAAACAGTCTTGGATCTCATACCAATGCTATTAGACATTTACCACTGAGGCAGGCATGGGAAACTCTTCTGACCAAGACCTGCAAAGATATAAGCCCTAGTTTGGCCTAGAGGGGCAAGATAACTGAGAGAGCCCCACTCCTGAATCCCAGGCACACAGGGCCTATTCAAGATTGAGACTGGACCTGGGAAAGACATGTTCCTGACTCCACCAACAGGCTACCAAGCACCAATTAACACAATAGTCTACCTATGGGAGAGGGTTAGGAGCACCTAGAGATTCTCCAATGAAGTACAGGTGCACAGGGAAAGCCAAAATCTGAGAGCTGATCAGGAAAACTGAGAAACAGCTTCCCACACCACAACTCTCAGCCTAATCACAAAGCAATACAAGAGAAAATGAAGCCAATGATGAGCTGAAGGTACCCCTTGCAAAAATAAAACCGACACTCAGCTTAACTCCTGACTAGACTGACTCAACCCCCTACACTAAAAGTATAGGAATACAATTTTCCAGGTATAAATACTATTTCCTCAGTCTTTACTGTCCTATTCACAATATCCAGCATTCAGTAAAATATTGTAAGACACATAAAAGGAAGAAAATCTGTATTACTTCGTTTTCTGTTGCTGAGAACAGAATACCTGAAACTGAGTAATTTATAAGAAAATGAAATTTATTTCTTACAGTTTTGGAGGCTAGGAAGTCCACGGTCCAGGGAGCACACCTAGTGAGGGCATTCTTAGTTCCTAGGAACCCTACAGCGTACTGTGGCAATCACACGGCAAGAATGGCGAGAACATTTTTATATGATCGCTTGCTCTTCTTACAAAGCCATCAGTATACTCCCTGATAACTCATTAAACAATTAACTCATTAATGGATTAATCCATTCATGAAAGCAGGGCCTTTACAATCCAAACACTCCTAAAAGCCCTATCTTTCAACATTGCCACACTGGAAATCAAGCTCTCACCTGAGCTTTGGAAGAGACAAACATTCAGA